AATGCTTAACAAATACGTGCACAAGATTCATGGTTTGAAAACACTAGAAAAAGTTCCAACTGACTTTGGGACCAAGAATATTTATGTCTCACATGAGCAATGTTTTCTGGTTTCTTGATTTTTGTTTGTTTACCTCATGTACTTTGTGGACTAGGAAATCCTGGCTAGGAATGTGTTCTTACAGCAGATTTGTGGCCCACCTCTGTGACAGTAAAGTCGTTACTGAAAGCCTTTGTAGCCACACTCCTGTCCCAATTCATCACCTCACCCTTGTTCTGTATTCTCTTTCTATTTCTTTCTGTCTATCTTGTATTGTTTATGTTCTTGACACCTGCCTGGCACAATGGAGACAATAAGTATTGATTGGATTTTATTAAACTTGTAGTCCATTTCTGGAATAAGATACTTCCCTTTTTATAAAAGAACAGACCTTTCCCTTATGGTGGTCCTGAGAAATTGATAACTCCCTTCCTGCCATCACAAGGAAACGAAGGCTGCCTGGGAGATTATCCAGCCAGACATCCCCTCCCCCTGTCCCCTCACCCCTCCCACATCTTATATTTTTAGGAAGAAGTCATGTCACCCTTCACATCACATGTTCCTAGTGAAGCATGTCTAAGAAAAGCCCAACAGGTAGTTTCTAAAAACTCCTATCATGAGAATAAAAATAATTCTTTGTAAAAGATTCTGAAGGTGAGGCTAAGAAAATTTTCAGTCACTTCCCAAAAAATTGAGGAGAAGATGGCAATTGCTGGACCTTCACTGCTCGTGTGAGGGAAAGGATGAGCAGGAGATGTTGATAGGACTCAGGTTTCTTCAGCTGAAAGAGGAAAGGACACACCCATGGGGCCATCTCTGTGGTTTTCAATGCTAAAGAGAAGTTTCTGTCCTTTGAGAATCTAAGGTATTAGGGAAAGCAGTAAGGCTTATTAACAAAACTCAGGATTAAGAACAGAGATGTGAGTCTAGATCTTCCACTGAATGGCTGACTCAGAGGTTTGGTAGGTTTATATATTTCTATGTTAAGGCACAAAAGGAGAACGACCTATAGCCATTGTAAAAATATTAACTTATTTTGATCAGTACTTAAGGGCATTGTGTATATAAAATTATTTTACTCATATGTTCCTTTGTGTTATGTATTATGCAGACTCTAACAGTTGAATCTTTCCTATCCCACACCTCCCAATTGAAGTACAATCTAAAAATGCTAGGATCTTCATCTTTTCAAGCTACCTTACATTTTTCCAACTAAGTGCAGATCACTTAGCAAAGTTTTATTTGTTAAAATGCATTCTGTGTCTTCTAAACCAACCACATAAAATTATCCTCCAAACACATGATAAAATCATGAGATAACTAAATCTTCACTCCAAATTCACACCAGCCTCAAGAACATACACGTGGCTATAGTTTGAGCCATAGAAACGGAATCCTAGAATCCTAGCATAGAATTCAGAATAACATAAATCTCCTGAGATAAAAAGACAAGGAACAGGAAACAAGAGCCATTGAACGGGACCATACCTGTGAAAAACATATAGCTATTAATTTTTCTCTTCATAGAGATTTCATAGTTTAGTGTGTGGCACTTGATTAAAGACTTTAGAAGATCATGTGGACTAATGTGATAGTCTAATAGGAAACCGTGTCAATGAAAATTGAGGCTTTATGCATACTCATCATTTAATCCTCACTAAAGTCCTGCCAGGAAGGCTCTGTCAACCCCATCATATAGATAAAGAAATTGATTCTGGGGAGCCACATAACTTTCCTACACAGTGACACAGTAACCAGATCTCCTGAACACAAGTCAGGAGCTTGTTATACTACCTTATACACTCATTACCACAAAAGGACCCATCAATAATAAAGGTAAATGACTGATTGAAATACGGTAGAATTTTCAGAGGCAGTAACAGTCTGGTGGGAGTCAATTTGTGTGGCCATTGAAAAGTGGTGAGTGACAAGGTCAGGAAAAGCTAAAAACACCAGGGCAGAGGATCCTCTCTCCACTAGCGTCTACCTCTTGCACGGCCATGTGCCCCTGGCCCTGAGGACCCAAGTCTGACCATACACAGAACGTGCTTCACCCGGCCAGCCCAAATGTATGTATTTCAGACCCTGATGGTTTTAAACTTTAATAAGCAGTTCCTGTATTACAACCATGCTAGATGGTCTCAAAAGGTAGTTTATATCTTCCTTTATTTGGAAGAATCTTACCTAGTGACAGAATTATTGCCATTTGGCTGACAGATGTTTCTTCAAAACAAATTTTAAACCCAAATCAATTCACAACAGTATAACAGAAGAATAAACTCCATTTTTAATGTAATGCCACTTTTATTGAGATCATTTCAGTAACTTAGTACTGTTAGCCACTGAAACTACTACTATAAACTATCTTGGCACAAACAGAGACCTGATCATTCATAATCTAAATTGGCTCAGTGTAGGGGCCGGCCCGCGGATCACTTGGGAGAGTGTAGTGCTAAATTGGCTCAGTTTGAATTCAACCACAAATGGCTTGTCTGTGATTTTTTTTTTTTTTTTTTTTTTGGTGTTTTTTTTAAAAAAAATTTTAAAAAATTT